CAGGTCCGCGCTTACGGTGGCCGGAGATCGTGTAATAACTGTACTAGGTATAAATTACTGGTAAGCTCGTACTTTCACACACTTTAGCATAGACTTTTCGATGTCCAACTTTGTACTTAATCTCATTTGAATTAGATAGAAGAGACATTCAAATTCTTACATTACTGCTTTTAAATTAGATTCAATTTTCAACGGCAACCATACCTATAGGTAAGTGCACAGTACAGTGTGAAATAAATAAATGATTATTTACATTAAGAAACTTTTTGGAATCGAAGAATTTTTAATGTTGTCATGTTCAAATTTTAAATTAATAAATCGAAATTTAATTTATGAGTTGTTTACATTGGTGCGTAGGTTGATTTGTTTAAAAAGTAATCAAGATCGTATTAACCTTTATCAACATGAATTATATAACTTTTAAACAGAAAATAGAAACATGGAGATTCTATTTATAAAGTTTAACAAATGTTGGATACTGTTATAGCATCTATTGCTTTGGTATCATAAGGGCTATATTCGTCTGTTTTTTACCACCTAATGTAGCTTTAATGTGATTACAACTTTACACCAATGTAACAAAGACGTCATTCTATTGAATAAACATTTTAGAGTTTTGATTTTATCGCAACGCTTCAAATAAATATTTACAATACGAAAAAAATATAGACATACATCACTCTCATATAAAAATCATAAATAATTTAATACTTTATATTTATATTAATTAAAAATAATAAATGAGTGCTAGCGGAAAATCCCGCGCATTTTCCTAGATAACACTCGAGCTAATGAAAATCGCTTAACTAATTGAAACCCAGATATCAGTTCGCTGGAATATGCCCTTCAAAATATGAATATTGTAAACCTTATTTCAATAGAATTCATAGAATATTCTTATTTGCAACATTTGTTTGAAAAGTGGCGATGGGCCCCCAGTAATGTCAATTATACGGCGAAACATAACGCTGGTTTTCTGTGTGCTTATATTATTCCGATCAAGCCGACTCATTCTTCCGAAGCACCACTCTTCAACGTGAAATAATTATAATGTTTTTCCAAAACAATTCTTCAAATTGGTAAAAAAGCTTTTAACGATTTATAGAACAGAATGTACGAGCCACATGCTCCATTATAGATATTCAAGCCTAGTTAGGCGCCAAATTGACTTGCAAATTAGGATTTCAAAGCACGCGTTCGCTAGAACAGGGCCCAGGATCAGTCTTAGCTCTTAGCGTAAAATCTAGACCTTTGTTCACTACTTAATCGCATTATTATACCATGAGAACATTAAAATTATTTCAAGTACCTAATATTTTATGAATATCTTTTGCTGAATAGGTACATTAACACACAATGGCGTTATCAATAACGTTTACTTGAATAACCGTTAAAGCAATACAATACGTTATGTTTGATATTCCGGGAATAAAGTAGATAGGCGTATTCTATTCTATTTTTTTCGTTCGCAACAAAGAGAATAATGGGAATGATGCAACATTTTTTATTGAACGTGGAAAGAAACTTAAGTTACTTAGAATTTTTAAGTATTCGAGTTAAAAGCACTTTTATTTTTATTATCTTTGTTTCTATTTATTCACTTAACTCAAATAAATCTTACTAATCTCATTCAATTACGTTTGTCTAATAAGTAGATACAGGTTCATCTGGAATTACGTAGTTTATCTTCTAAGCTAATTTACGACGGCAAACATCGCGAAGGAACCTGAACTTAATGGCATGTAATCGCTAACACGCATTGTGATCAATATTCTCCCATTCTTTCTATGAAATGGTATTTGACGCTAAGGTAGAAAATAGCTTGGCTGGTATTTCTGACTTCGGTATGTAGATAAGAGGTTTTGTGTGGGAAAAATCTCATTGCCTTTGGCAGATCAATGGGTTTAACAAATCACTCGTGATTGTTGTCGTGGAAAACTATTTATTCCAAACAAAAAAGAAAGTGTCGTTACGATACAAAAATGTATCGGTTTGTGTGACAACCGCCGATATATGTTTTGGCAATGTGGCCATAAAGATAATGCCTTCTGCCGAGTAAAGTTAATTAGAAACAAGAACATTCCAAGTTATATTTGTTGGAAAATAAAATAAAAGACATATTATTTGTGTTTTCATATACTCGTAGAAACTTTTCTTTGGCAGTTTGACGTGTTCAGGTTAAATGAGACGTCTTCACGTGCCTATCATAATATTGTTGAGGTAATAAAGTATTTAAAAGTAAGTCAAATGTAATCTTATTATATTATATTTATTTTTAATCGACTTCAAAAAAAGAATGAGGTTCTAAATTTGATCTGTATGTATGTATGTATGTACGTTTATGCACGAATACTTCGCGATTGGTTGAACCGAAATTGACGCAGTTTTTAGAAAAGTGTTTATTACACTTAGTATATTAATTAGGTAACCAAATTCAGATTTTGTTCACGTTTAGGTAACCAAATCCAATTAGGTAACCAAATTCTGATTATGTTGACTTTTCAGATGACGAGATTGATGTAGGTTATTTTAAACGTAAACTACGTTTTATTACAACAAAACATTAAAAAATATTACAACATCTATTTATGCATTGGTCACCACCGTTTTTATTCCCACGGGTATTGTAAAAAATTACTGAAGAACTTTTACCTGAACTTGACTTTTGACTGAGACTAGACATCAATACTCTTTACTGAAATGTAATCTATTAAATCAATAGGGGTGATGCCGATACGGATCCGCGGAGAACCTAACGGGTTACTGGGGCTCCGGCTTGAAGTGCAGGAGTAGGAACGGGGTGGTTTTTAGTCAGTAAGAGTTGACACTCCCTCCCGCCTCACCTAGGCGGGAGAAGTCATTCGATGATTATTCCCCTTAAAAAAAAACCCCGACTGCCGGACGTAAAGTTTATGCCAAACTCTTAAATAGATGAGGCAAATAGTTCAGTAGTGAAAACTAAACTTAAATGCAGTTTCGTCTGATTAAATTATCTTCATTTTACAACATATCAACATATATATACGTAAGTATTTATTAAAATGCGTGGGATGCTACGACAATATCTCGAAATATTTCCCGCACGCGTGGTCTTTAATAACAATGACGTCATAGGTAATCTACGTAGCGTATATTTTTTCGCTTTCTTGACAGTTACTCCCACGCAAAACCATAAATGATATTACGATGTTAGGTCGCAGGATATCATTAAATGAACTTTAAAGTAAAGACATCATAAAAATTGGGGTCAACAACGCCATTCCAAGTTCTAATCTTGTTCGGATTCGGTACATTCTGAAACTTTGATACGATACCAGAATGCGAGCATTACATTACTCCAAATTTTTGGTGACCTAACTGTGATTCCTTACTTATGAGGAACCTATTTCAAAGAGGAGTTTCTTTATTTGTTAATATTTTTTTATCGTATAAGCAGACGGACCACCTGGTGGTAAGCAATCGGTGTCACCCATGGACACAAGGAACATTAGAAGCGTTACAAGTACGTTGGGAACTCAGGGATAGATTGGGGAGGAAGGGGGGGGGGCATAATCGTACATCCGGTAACCTCACTCACACGACGAAACACAACGCAAGCGTTGTTTCACGTCGGTTTTCTGTGAGGCCGTGGTATCATTCCGGTGGAGCCGGCCAATTCATGCCGAAGCATGGCTCTTCCACGCTTGCATAATTTGACGAATGATTGAATGAAGTTTTTAATTAAATGTGCAGAAGTAAACTTATCAAGTGACCACATATATTTAACAGACCTAAAACTTTATCATGTGTGTCATTATAGCGGAAAATGATTCTACATATCGGACTTATTGAGTGTACTGTCATTGTTTATTGATACCAACAATTAAACAAAGTGATTAATTACACAGTACAGGCACTTCAAAAGACCCTGAAACTAATGGTTTTGTACAGAGGCCTTTTGGATAATATAAATGTTATGAAAGTGAATAGAAACGTGCCCTTTACCCTACGTTAATTAAGTATTGTTAACTAATGAATATTTTGAAATTAGTATTGAATCTTAACATTAGTGCCTGAAGTCACTGAATTGAACAAAGTTTATTATTTAGAGCCTTTTGTTCTATGAGTCAAAGACTTCTCTCATTCTTCTATATTGTGTACTCTTTAGGCATTGTAACGCTTTTTGTGTTTATAATATATCAATGTGAAGTATACAAATTAAAGGAAAGTGTTTAGAACATAATTGTGATAATAATCCATTCTCAGACGAAAATGTATTATGTAAAGAAAAGCAAAGGAAACTATTGTGATGTTTGTGCCCAAACCTTTAATTTATCAAGATACATGATATACTTTGACGTTTTACGATGTATGATGAAGTTGTATAAGTACATTTCACGTATGTAAGTCAAACCGACGTGAAGCAAAGCTTGCGTTGTGTTTCGTCGTGTTAATGAGGTCACCGGAGGCCCCCCTCCCCAATCTCCCCAATTCCTGAATCCCCAATGATCCTCAAACTCTTAATCCCCAAAAGGCCGGTAACGCACTTGTAACGCCTCTGGTATTCCAGGTATCCATGTGCGACGCCGATTGATTACCATCAGGTGATCCGTCTGCTCGTATACCGGCTTATGCCATAAAAAAAATATTTTGCTTGAATATTAAGGGCAACAGATTTTGTGCTCATCAAACAGTGTAACGATGAGACCCTGATTCTCCAAACCAACTTTCTAATGTCAAATCAATGGACAGTCCATTTTAAATAGCATCAAAGACTAAAAATTCTCGTCATCTTTTCACATTGGTTACCGGTTGGGATTGTTGAGTCAGAGCAGGAGTTGGAACGGGTTGCTTTTTAATTTGTTAGAGTCTGATACTCCCGTTTGCCTCATCCAGAGCTAGAGAAATAAATTGACCCCTCAAAAAATGCCCAATAATTTCCCCTTGAGTAAACTTCCTTATTGATGATACGTACCATGCTGTGGCGTAGACCGCGAAGTGTTACTCCGTCTCTTTGAATGTCATGCTCTGCTAAAGGACGATATGTCCCGATAGTTTCTTTGACTCACTGTAACAAATAAACAAAGTTAATAACATATCTACTAACTTACTTGTAGTTCGTAATAATGATATAAAGTATTTTTCATCAGACGATAGTGAGTTGGGTCCTTTCTACATTATGTTTATGAAAAGTATTGCTATTATTAGAGATAGTTGTTTCAATAACTGACAATTTCCAAGTGTCTCTGTAGATTTTATGATGTCTTCAAAAATACAATAGAAATGAGAACCATTTTGAAATTTAAGTTTCCCCATAGCAAATGCAATGAAAATGTATGCCATCTTTATTTAAAATCAGATGCAAGATATCGGTAAAGCATAAATCAAGCCATTGTGATTCTCATAAAGGTGACAGTGCGATAGACAGTTTTGTTATTAATAATATCTATTCGTTTCTATTATGACGTTACTAAGCAATGAGATTACAATGCTTTTTATATCACTCTTCTTTAAATGGAATCGTCTTTTTTAATTATCCGTATTTTTTTAAAGTTTTATATCTTTAATAAATTATAAAAGTCTATAAATAGTACAAAGTCAAGTTAGATATTAAATGAATCATTATGTGTAATTTATAAAATGAAAATACGCACTATTTAAGTATTTATAGAAAATAATTCTTAACACTTAAATATCATCGCTCATTCTACTAAAATTTAACGATTTCGGGCAACACCATGCGATAAAAGTTGCGATTTAATAGCAAGTAATTAATTAGAAGTAAAATGCTCCAATCGTAACATATGTTACGACTGAGAATGATTAACGTTTTGTTTCTGTCGTTTTCATTTCGAATTTAACTTTCAAACAAAATTAATCACAGTCGCAGGCAAAATATTAAGCTTTGGTAGGAACTCATGAGTTTGTTTTAGTATAATTGTATACAATGAAAACTTTACAATACATCATGTGGCACACAATGCCTACATCCCACATAAATACATACAAACTCTTAAAAATATTTGTCTCAACATTAACGCAAATGAGCCTTTTATTAATTTTCAATTCACCAAGTCGATTATAAACGACTATTCTTTCTCTGTTTTATTTTTAGTTCCTAAGACAAAAAAAAAGAATTCAACTTAAATTACCCCTTAAAAGCTTTGCTACCTTATTCACGTTGACTATCTATAATCGTTACCTCTACAGAAAACGAAACAAATGTATGGGGTTTCGTACGAGGACCACGTGACTTATTGGTGACGATAAGTACGAATAAATTCCTCGTTTTTCTCCTTAATGTTCCCATCGATTAATTCACAGGGAAACATAGAAATTTTTGGTTGCGTCCACATCTGGTGAATGTGTCGCAAATGCGAAGCTCGCGAGCCGTTTGCGGATTGCGGTTGCACCTCTTTAGTGCAACTGATGCATGATGACTCGTACGAATAACAATTTTATTTACACAGATAGGCAGCTCGCAAACGGCAAATTTGCTAGAGGACACACCCTTTATAATGAAATAATTTATTTTTATTGTTGTCAGTTAATGAAACAACCTTATTTTAACGAAGAGGAATTGCACTATAATTAATAATAATTGGATATTAAAATATGTGTAGCAAGTTCATGATCCTACCCCTTAAATGACGTAGGTACAAGTCGAAATGTGGGTGTACAATTAACTCATTTTACTGAGCCCTCGAGGCTATTACATACGTTGCTCATACTATTTTATTATGTGAAGTATTACAAACCAACGAACAATTATGTTAATTATCATAAAACATATTAAATTACAAAGAATATGTTCCAGAGAAATCTCTTCTTTCTTTTTTATGAACTAAGTATTTTGGTTAAATAAATAAACAAGCAAAAATTCTGACATTTAAATATTACGAGTTGTTAAAGCAAAATAAAAACGACATTATAACAATGATAAATGTTCTACTTTTTGTCTTTGTAAAAAGGTTCATATTAAGGAGTCGTTTTCACAGATACCCGTTCTAAAGAACAACTAATATAGAATGAAAAACATTAGAAGAAAATATTTCTACGTTATTATTGAAAGTGAAGCTGGATTGAGTGTTCCATGATTATTTTGTGATAAATTGGCAATAGAGGGAAAAATCTTGTTGGTACAAAAGTATATGTTTTATATTATATTGCTCATTTAATAATCTACGTCGATCCACGTAAGTTCAATAAATGCCATTGTGTAAATAGTTTGATAGACGCAATACTAAACATATTTTAGGGCAATTTGCAGCATCTGATTATGAAAATAGACGGATTTCCAATATCTTTTTAGGTCATTAGAATATATACTTACATACATAGATGCATAAGGATGTTAATTGTGTAGTAGAAAGTATATAATGTAACACATTTTTTTAGTACTTGATAGGTTGACGTTTGCCACCATCTCGCCTGGTGGTAAGCGATCATGTGGCCGACGATAGAGCGCGCCTCCCTATGAACAACCTGTTCCCTCGGGGCTTGAAGACACCCAAGTTATATTTGAAACATGAAATTATGAACACATTTGATAGCGCCGAGGTAATTCTGCCAATTATAAAAAAATAACCATGATGTTATCTTTTATTTATTTTATCCACCCTCAAAACCCTAGTCTATTGTAAGCTGGTGTCTTATTAGTTAGACTTAGGCTAGATCCTCCATAATGACTTTGTTGTTTTACCCAAAAAACCGAAGATAAATTGCTGCAAAAATTGGGAAAGTTTTAAGACCAAGCAGAATAAAAACAGAATAGACAATTAAGTGGTTCTTCGAAAAAAATTTGTACCTAAAAGTCCTATCGAAAAAGGGTCTTGTCTAAAGATTAAATCATATTAAAGCTATCAAGCTATTTCTCGGTTGTTTGAACTGAATAATTATTACGCTAAAAACATTTACTCGGCAATTTGCTCCGTCTTTTTTACCTACTGATAAAAATTTTGTACATTTTTGTTACTTAGATGTCAAAATAAGAACTGCTCGTTTCGGTTCTGAGTGATGTCGTCATAATTTTACGTGATTTATTGGAAATAATTTGGATACGAAACGATTATGAAATATGAGCCCCTTAGTGGTTTTTCTTTAAGTCAAAACATTTGTTGTTACCTTTTAAATGGTAAACTTTTAAAATATTTTACTTTATAATATGTTTTTACGAATAAATACAGCAACAGCTAATTCTAAATTTAAATATCGAATTCTAATTCATCCACAAACGCATTTCCTACAGCCTAACCACAGACACAGAATAATATCGTATTAACATAAACACTTACAATGGAAATTAGGCCATAACGTTAATAAATTAAGATTACTTTCGAAGGCTATCAGCATCCAGATTAACTTTTAATCGATGAGAATCGCGGGATCTGGTAAATCCCTAAAGCGATAACATTCCAGATTTATTGCATCAGTTTGAATTTCAGTGTTCGTGTCATATTTTTTATGAATAAGACCTATATTGGTGTGATAAAATGATTTATACGCTTTTGATTTATTTACGCGATATTATAAAACGGAGTTTGTAGTTATTTCCGTAATTAATTGGGGCCATCACTGCCTGGCTTTTCACTCTTCTCTTCATTCAGACAAATCTTCAGTTAAAAACCGGAATTTTTGAAGAGATTAACATGAAGATTTTATTTACATAATGAAAGTAAATGTACAGGTTCAACACTCCACCGCTAATGTATTTCAATACCCCTTTCAATTATACTCTTAAAAAAACAACCCCATTTTGAATGCAGAAAAGAATTATTCCAATACTGAACTCAAGCATTCGCTGTCATTTGCATTGCAAAAAAAAACAAAGCACTCTCGAACGAAGTACACTGAAGTAATGCATACAAAAATACCAATAATAGGAAAAATGGGTCTTTCTTTTACATTTCAGAAACGTTTCCTACTCTGGATTTTTTTTCTGTATCGTGAAAGTTTCAACAATTAAACATCTCACTCAGAGCCCTATTCTATTAGGAGTATTGGGGTTTTACAATCAAACGCAAAGAAATAAACCTAAGCTAAAGTTGAATGGAGACAAAATTAAACCTACTGTTTCTTTAGTACTCTTTCGTAGACACTCATGGTTAAGCGATTGATGGTATAATTATGGCATGCAACGGAATATGGTATTTAAGTTAACTCCAAGCAAAAATTTTTTGTGACTGTGTAGCAGGCTCGTCGCCTTTCTGTGCCAACCGTGCAGCCAAATAATAAATAATGTGCCTTCAGATTGTCGTGTGAAGTTGAAGTCTGTCTTTGAAATGCTAAGCTTAAAATCCTCTCACATTTACCAGGGAACTAATTATACCGTAATCATTGTACACTTATGCCGTCGTGGTCTTGTGCCCTTGACGGAGTGGAAACGCTACCGAAATTAATTTGGCTCCGTAATTGTTTACCATGAACGTAGATGCGTAGAGTAATTTAAAACACATAATATTACGTTTGTTTTATTCATAGGATCGTTGTAGAGGGTGTATTGTGCATTCAGTTTTATTATTATTGTCTTGTAAGATAGGATTAGTACCTACCTGTGCTGTTCTTAAACATACTCTGACGGTAATTGAGAATGTTATTGCACGAAAGGGTAAACAGAGGTGCATTTATAGTAAGCCAACGCTTTGGCAATTGGGTTATAATTCCAATTGTAGTACAGAAGCCTATTACAGTATTCGAGGGCTACAGCATAATAAATAGTTTAAAATAGATAATTATGATTATGAGTGTGAATTGTGTTTGCAACGAAGATCTTGCTGAAAGAACTTACCTGAGAATGATTTATTCATTTCTAATTTCTTCATATCAGTAGATGATGATGTTTTTGGTGTCCAACACCAACATAACACCATACGAAAGTAGATGCGAAATCTGTGAACAAATAATAAATAATTAATAAGATGAAATAGTTTTACATGTTAGTTTTTATGTAGTTTTAAAGAGCAATAAATACACTTCAAAAATTACTTGGAGAAAGAAGGGAATTTTATAGATATTAAATATTTTTTTAAAACAAATAATTATCATGTATTATATTTTATTCAAAGCTTAGTAATTCATAACAATAGATGGAATCGTCAAAATTCGCAGTCACCATACCTAGTTGATTTTTCAATAGAACTAAACGTCACCTCTCCTTCACATGTTTTTGCAAAATGTCAATTAAGATAAGTAATTAGTGAAGTAAATGAATGCATTCATTTACTTAACTTAGAAACCGCGTAATTAGAACGTTCAAATTAAAATAAATAGTTCATTTGCAATGTTTTGATCGTTTAGCTACAGAAAAGGTTTAATTTAAAAGTAAATTATTTACATTTAAGAGTAATTGCTCTTACAATTTCTAATGTAGAGGTTAAATTTATTTTTTGAAGTATACTTTCAGGGTGGGTTATTGAACTCTTAAAATATCCACGTCATCAATATTTTTGTTAATTTTTGCAGTCAAGGTGAATCGTAGCAGATTCAGTTTTTTAATCTGTTCAAGTGCGTATTTTTTCATCAACATTTAATTTTAATTGGAGTTTGGTGTTGATTTTATTTTTCTGTCCATTTTTTTTGTTTCGATCATCAATTTTAAAATTTATTATTTATTTTAGGTACATACTTTTAGTAACAATAAGCCTCTGAATATAAAATTTCTTAGTTTTCATTGTTACAGCAAGATGGTTAGTTTAAGTATGATAGATATACCTCTTTAAAGTTTAACTAGATCTATTAAATGCCTGGTGTTTTCAAAATACTGCAAACAATAATACTTTCTTGAATTTGCAAGATCCAAAATCTAAAACCTCATTTTCAAAATCTTCTATGTTATTCTGTAATTTTCAAATCGAAAGATCGAAATGAACTCGATCACGGTCCTCCATGTCATTGGTTGTGAGAATAATGTCGACCAATGACAGGCTAGAATGCGATGGAGCTCACTTCGAAAGTTCGAATTGACAATTACAGAATAATCTAGCAACTCTTCAAACACTCAAATTGATACGAAGTCAAGGTCAAACATGGAGCTTCTGCATCACAACAGACCCTTGTTTGCCATACCTATTAAATAAACTTCCTGAGTACGTGTTTGTATTGTCACAAGCATTTGACAGTGTTTGTCTATTACGTTTTGGCTTCCTCAATCTATAGGGCAATGTTTACTAGTCATTATAATAAGGGCAAAGGATTTGAACTATACCGTTAGTGTTTTGTTTTTTTCGTCATATTTATGGAGTCCTTTATAGTTTTCTAATGTCACTTTTGTCTACCTATACGACATTGTAGCGTCATTATGTTCCCAAGTAACAAAACGTTACAATATTATCAAAAAAAATATTCGATAATTTTCCAAAAAAAAAATCGAATATTATTTGAGTAGGCTGCGCAACAACCGCAACCGAGCACGCTGCTCATGAGTAAGAGTCCCTCAGTGACCCGAAACTAGTAGAGCTTTTCTCAGTATATTAACGTGAGTAACTCGTCGTTTTTAGTTAGGTAATTTATATTTTCAAATACACCTACATACCTAATTTCGTCAGTTAGTTCTAAGTACGTTCTAATCTACCTCCTATAAAATTAAATTAGTTATCGTCTAGTGAGTCTACTATGAAAAGACTATAATTAAAGACCAGGTAAAAACTAGTTTATTTATAAAGCATGACTTATACACAAGTAAAAATAACTCAAAAATACGTTTTATTTGATGTTAAGGAAAATACTGGTCAGCCTCGTAAAGTAAGCTTGTTGGTAATAACTCAAGTGAAACGGCCACTTAGAACCATAATATTTCCCTTTATCGAAAAAAATGTTTACGACATTCCATAATATTTTTGAATGGCCTATTCAGGGACATGCGATGGTGTATGCAAATGGCATTCTTTGATATTATAGGTACACTTTGAACGAATTTGTTTGAATTTTTTTCGTATAATTTTCTCTATAGGAGTAAAAAAGCCGTATTAAATAATTTATGTAAGTAATATAATCTGATAATATCTGATAGTGGAAAATTGAAGAAAAATAGCAAATTTAATTCAACTCTAGCTAGGATATAGCAAAACAGAAGAGCACAAAAAATAACAGTTATTATTACAAATCTTTAGGGTAAAACCGGGATGGATGCCTCAGTAGGATAGATGCCCCATTTCTTAAAAACCTAACTTCCTAAGCTCGCGATTAAGAAACAACCGTATAACTAAAAACCGCAAGCATCCCGCACCTAAGTTAGCCACACACCGTCAAGCGGTGAGGATGCGTTTCGTTCGTATATGAATTCATCTCCGCGGCGAAATTACCAAATGCGTAAAAATTTTAAAGGTGAGTATTTGATGTTGTATAACTTTTTAAGTAGATATTAATTCCGCCATATTTTTTATTACGTCAATATATTGTTTCATGAAGTATACATTTTGATGTAAATAATCGCTTTTTTCTTTTTTATTTATTTAAAAAATACTTGTGCAACTATCCCTGTCAAAAAGGATAGTTGCCCTGATTTTTAACGGGATAGATGCCCCTAGGGGCGTCTATCCCTCCATACACCATGTATATCCTGATTGTATTATAAGTGCTTTGAATCTACAAGGTGTAGTTTTGAAGTCGTGTCATTTCTCGGGGGCATGTCACAGAAGTCATATAGGTTCAATGTAAGAGAAAATTTCAGGTCAATAGTTAAAAATACGGCTATAATAAATCGTTTAAGTTGGACAATATTTCAGAAAAAGTGGCAGCAATTCTTCTTATTCGAGTTTTATGGAATTAGGAATAATATCAATTACATGTTTGAGTTTGTGTGTGTTAAGCCGCGTTATAAAGCTATTATAATTACGCGCTATATATAATTACGGATTTCCGTAAATTACAGAAAAATGAAAAATATTTACCAACAAATTTTTTTATTGATTCAGACTCATAATCGATAGCCGAGTTACCTCCTAGAAAATGACGCGGCTTTAAAACAACACCTTGTATATTTTTAATATATTTTTCATGTGTTTATGTATAGGTATTTATACTTTATATTGATTTACTTTTGACTAAGTTTTTGGTCTTTTTACTGATTATAGCAGAACTATGCCAAGAAAATACAAAATAAAAGAAGGAGTGCGAGCTCGAGTATGTTCTTGGACTACAGAACAATTGCAGCCAGCTATGGAGAAAATGGACAGAAAAATCATGGGGATAAAAGTTTGCTGGTAAAGAACACTAAAATTGATGGGCAGGATGGGCCTAAAATATAAATAAATTAACTGCATAGAATGCTTTGAAAACTATGAACAAACGAAGTCTAAATCCGACTGGATTCAATGTGTAATGTGTCAGTACTGGTTACATGAAACCTGTACACTTTTCAGAAATAGTTGCTCGAGATGTGGAAATATTAAAGCACTGTCCGGTTAAATATTATGATGATATTTATTTAGTTATTTTAATTTTTAAGAAAGAATGACTTTTATGATTTTGCTTGTTGAAACTTAATTAGGTATTAATATTTAATAATAAGGATTTAAAATACATATTACTGTTGAACAAATACTTTTAGAATTTAATTGTTATAGTTTTAATTAAAATTTATCTTATTTATCTTATTTATAATGACAATGACAATAAAAAGATTTTAAAAACTGCAAAATACTTTTCATTTCAAATAAAATAAAGCCAAAAAATAGATAAATAATATTAACATAAAATACTTATATAGTATGAAGGGCATCTATCCTGCACCGTAGGCATCTATCCTTGTTAGTATTTTCAAGGTGGGGCAACTATCCATAGGGGTAGGCATCTATCCCCAAAAATGGAGGTCTACAAAAAGCTAAAATCTGCAAAATGGGTAGTTTATAGGTCCAAATAGACCAATCACAGTAAAACATAAAGGATTAAACTAGTTACATTCATAGGTATTATTTATGTAATACCAATATTTTTTAAATTAGAAGCATATTTCAAAAAGTGGGGCATCTATCCCGGTTTTACCCTATATTCTTATATCACCTGAAATAGTTTATACCATAAAGTAATATATACGTATTATTATAGATCGGTGAGTATTAGACATACCGGTGTATATCTTGACCAATTATAATACCTATTGTAGTCAAATAGTTCCACCCAAATTTTCTGGTCATCAATTATTTCACAAGTCACGTGCATTTGTTTTTGAACATTAATCATACGGTTTATTTACTTTGTTTAAGATAAAAACATATCTCAGATTGGAAACTATCCAAAAGCTATGTTTACAAAAGCAAGCCAAAGAAAATCCAATTGTAAAATGTGAAAGAGAAAATAGTGACATTCTACTGGATGAATTTATTTGAAATTATTCTGTCACTTATTCTACAGTTGCAAAATACGAACGAAATCGTTTTAAAATTTAAATCGGTTACAATTAGTACTGCATTATATTGACCTAGATATGTACTGGAAGCAGCTAGTGAGAGGCGGGTAGCAGCATCTTTAACATTTTCAGTGCATTCGTTTACTTAAGTTAACTACAATCTCCAAGCTGCCTGGCTAGCGTGGGAATTATGACACCTCTATAATAAAGAGCTCGTTGTGTGTAATAAATGTCTTTCGACTGTTGATGATAATGATGACTGAATCGTCTCGAGTCTAGACTATAGGTCCAAAGTCTAGACTTTTGAACATTCAGTGCACTATACAGTGAAATTTATATCGTTTTCGTCTCGGAACAAAACAACTTAATACGAAGAGCACTGTCGATGCATAAAGTAAAAAAAAAAAAATGACAATTTTATTAATTAAAAAAAAAATAATATTAGACAACTTTCATGAGACACTAGATGTAAATTTGGAGGCCTGGAGTTGTGTTTCGTCGTGTGAGTGAGAAATAAAAGGTCACATAAACAAAACACAACCGCGAGCACTTTTTAAGTTCGTATCTAGTTTTACTCGGCTCAAGGGTGCACTTCGATGTTTTGGTATTTGCAACTACAATAACGTGATTGCTTCTTGAGATTTTTCTTTGCTTTTTTGTTTTTGAAATGCAAAGTCATCGAGTGGTGTCGCATATACGTATAATTTACCACTATTCGTCATAGTCATGACATGATTTGTCTTTACAAAATCCTAATTTTGTAACAAAGAAACCAGATTTTCAATATTTCCTATAAAATGTAATTTAGTATATCATCATCGCTTACCATCAGGTGAGATAGTGGTCAAACGTCGCCCCATCAAATATAAAAAAAATATAGTAATTCAGTACTAATTCAGTATATAGACTGATCATAAAATATTATTAAGGCTTTAAACTTACTATTCACTGTCATTCGGGATATTTTTACACTTATTATAACAGAAAATAAACAAATGTTAACCAATATTGTGCGTACAAAAAACTGATATTACAGTCAATAATAGAACCGCAATAAATTTCAATATGACACTGGCCATGTGCACACGCGTATAAAGCCACTCAATTAACATTGTTAGTAAAGAATATATTCAATTTTGAATTCCGAATATTGGAACGAATATTGAACAAAAATTGTTTACATGTGATGGTGCTGGTTTGACATCATTTTTATTTCAAGTGATAGATTATACATATCATTTTTGGAGTAGATAACAAAATTGTTTTTCAACATTCTCATCTTCTTCAAATACTCTAACAAGATATTAGCAGACTGTTGCGATTAATTTGCCTAAAACAACTCCTAAGTAATAACTTTCAGATACAAATGGTATACTGTTATCCTTCAAGCAAAATTTCCAATGCATTAATAATAAGCACCACTTTGTAGGCACTAAGTCCTTGTCTTAATCTAGGTCGTAGAATTTAGATCCTAAGTTTCCCAAGGCTCCAAAAGTTATGTGTCCAGAACTATGACAAATATGTTTTAGATTCCCAACACAATTTATTACCGACAAATGTCTGAGAAAGGATATGGCAATAAATAATATGGAACTGTGAAAATAGTACGAAATAGAATAGAATAAAGAATAGCCTGCATTGTCGACTGAGATGTCACAAATGCACGATATTACTGTACAAGATTATACTGTATACGTATTATCCTAAGGTCCATTATTAGAAAATGCCATAAGACAAATTAAGATCTACTTTCAACTGTTGTGTAAGAAACGTTAAATAAAAAATAATGTTCATTATATTTCAGCATTTAAAAGCTCTCAATCAAACTGCTACTTCAATATTTGGTTACACAAAATGGAAAATCAATTAATTTAAAAATGGCATTGAAGTTTTGACCTCAGATCGTTAGCGTTAATTACCATTTTCAAATTGACATTTTAGCTGACACCCACTTAGAGGACCGGGTTTGTTTTCTGCGCAAACACCAGGAATAACACGTCAATCACTCGTTAACTGAATAACATTTGACCTAGTCCTAACTACGGTTTCGCCCACAGTGGGATATTTTTAGGTGACCGAAAAATTAATTGATATTGTAACAATTTTTCTTATTCCATTTTACTAAAAATAGATGTTCAAAATGAAAGAAAAAGGCAAGAATTATTTCGTAAAGGTCTACATTTTAACGGGGAAGCTGAAATCATACATCAACTGCGTTGCACACATCAGATTTTTTGATACTATTAATACATGCAAATGCCTAAAACAGTTTATGATGCTTTCATTGAAATAAACACATAGATTGACCATACAGGATTTAGTAATTACGTATGTATTAACCATAATAGATTTACACACAACAAAATATCATCCTAAAATTTCATCCAACATTTAAGATTAATAAAATATTTGTGACTTTCATCATTTCCGAGCTCAAAACGCTTCGTACCCTGCTTTCAAAACTGGACATGGCAACAAAAGGAAAACTGGCCGAGAATTAGGGACCGTCAGTCCTTCGTTATACGAACTATTATGCACAAATACCTACATCACTATTTTATGACAAACGGCACCCTTTATGAACGTTTGTCATACAGCTCCCTCTAATCTAATAGTCACAAAACCAGTGACCCATCTAGTGTTTTTATTGTTATTGCGGTCTTATGACTAGGCGAATGGAATAAAAATAAGGTATCATGGCATTCAAGGTCATTTCAAAGAATCAATCTATTCTTCGAAAGTGCTCGAACCTAAATCTTTTGTAGTAGTTCTCTGACTGAACCGTTTCTATTTTAGCATAACTTTTCACTGGTTTAAAAGGCAAATATCGTGCAACAAACAAGGTACCAAGAGAAATATTCGTTCAAAGTACATAAACGTAAATTCCAATTTAAAAGATCTGTACAAAGCTACAAAGCGTACCTAAATGCCCTCATTACAGTAAATAAATTCTACACAACTGTCTGTTTGTATTCCCTAAGTCACTACAAAAAGAGGGAACTTAATAAAATACCTATTTCTTCACTGAATTTGGGTAGAACGCTATTTTTGGCAACCTTACAAAGCTATTCATGAATTGAGAACTAGCTTGTGCGTATTCTAAGCCATTACACTCACGTAACGAGTGCATAAGGTATACATTTGAATAATGGAAATATTAATCATTTATTCTGTGCTCAAAACAACTTTGGTTTTGCTATTGGTAGTATCGCCATAAAAGTTAACTTTTTCCAACTCTGTTAGGGACTTAAAGTTAATATTATAGAACATGTTAAGTTAATTTGAAAGTTCATAAATGACCTAAATTTCTTATAAGAAAATGATGAAATAGCACACGATCTTAATGGTCCGATCCATCACTGTCGATACTTTAAATTGTTTGATATAGACTTTGCTCTTGTTTCAGCTAGATTTCATTGAGTTCCTTTAGCTGTAATGCTCCAAAGTTTCTCTGCCCTATTTATACTTCAGCGACTTTTTCATTCCTTAAATTACTATTTTATCCACATTATCACAGGGAATCTATAAAGTTAATGCCGTGACTTTACAAAAGCTGCTATCGGTAAAAGACTTTGAGAAAGAACTAGAAAGTTAATTTTCTTTATCGTCTATTCAAGTACTAAGCTCGCATGCGACTTAAGAGGTATCATAGCTAAGAACATAATAGGCCCTTATTATAACTAAACATCTTCTTACAAACTACACCGCTTTGTTTAAACTTCATAATTGCGTAGTAATTAGCCACGAAACCACCGTCTTTTGTTTTAAAAGTAAATTAGGATTTTGAAGTCACGTTGATAAGTCACCTTTGAATACTAGTATTAAAAACAGCATAACATTTTTGCCTACTATTCTTCAAAAAGTAGGCTGGGAATACATTACAGTGCATGTCATACGAAGATTCGTGTAGGTATGTTAAGGTAACAGTGCGGTAACCGCTAATCATGGCATGCGGTGGATCGTAGAGCTTCACCCTCTTGTCTTTACACTCTAGCCACAACTGACTGGAATACTAACTTCAAATCCAAGTTAAATCTCAAGTTGCGTGTGGTTTAACATGTTTAGTTTTTGTTTTCTACAACATAAAACAATTCAATACAAAAATTTGATTTTGTATCTACACCCATTTTATCTTTACCGAGAATTTCGCTATTGATAAAATAATCATAACTATTACTCAAAAATCCGGAACACGTCCTGAATTATTATCTATTCCAGGAATAAAAGCCATGATATTAAGTTATGGAATAACTTGAACAGGAACAGCTTCGGCATTAACTTCACATTCGCTCCAAGCCAATGACGCGTTAGGGAAGCAATCAGTGCGTCATTCATTTGAGAGAACAGATAAATGAGTTTCTTACTTCGTAACATCTGTACGAAAATCAACTTTGTGTACGCACCTAGCTATTTATACGTTCGGTTTATTCTGTTATTTTGAGAATTCAAAACGTTTTGTTGAATTGTTTTTGCTAATGATTGCCGCAGTTCATGAGATCCTGAGAACTTGTGTTTGAGTTTGCCTTTACAAATTAAGTTAATGTTCTGACAATATAAAAGTCGTTTATGCACCGATTTGCTTACTCCTTGATTTGCTTATTTTTAAATGCAACCTGTTAACATAAAATATTTTTTCAGCTTAAACGTAAACTCTAGTAAAATCTTCTATCTTGTTAGAAAATATTCTTTTACTACTAACCTTTCCGTATAAATCCAACATATTTCTAAAAGAGCGCTACACTAGGTAACAGCTTTGGGATTGAGGTTAGCGCACCGATTTGTAAAATATGTAGCGCGAACTCGCTTTTCAAAGCACTCGCTGCCTATTCAAGAGGATCAAATCCCCAAACTTTTACTCACCGAGAAAACGTCTTTAGCAACACCGAAAGCTCAATAAACATTTATTTATTCCGGAAATTGGAAATACGTATACAACCAAATAATTTCGTTTTGCAACTCCACACTCCTATTTCCCCATAGACCATTGGCAAATGTATCTCAGGAGAGCTCAAATGTATTCACCTACACGGTTTGCGGATGGCAGTATCAAATTCCACAGAGAAAACGGTTACCTACGTTATTTATTGGCCAAAATCCCCCAATCCAAGGTCACGACGTACTGGAAATTCTCAAACCGGAAAATCCAATAACCCCTTCTTTTATTACGCACGACAGCCGCGCTTGTGACGCCACGAGCCAGACGATAAGGACCTTAATTTCATTTGAATCGTATTTAAACTGTTCTTCGGTTTCAATGGCTAGACTTGGATTTAGAAATCGATTTCACAAATCCGATTTATTATTAGACTTGCTATAAAATAATGGTAACCTTATTTTGTTTACGAAGGGGTGAGTACTGGTACAAGCAATTAAAGAATTGATTACTTTTCGATAAGCCTGAGTGTTCACTATGACTATTATTTATGATACCAAATAAAATTATTAAAAATATAATTAATACTTACTTATTACTCATCCAGTAATAAATTAAAGGATTGAACATAGAATTCGCCATGGCCAACCAGTAGAAGAAGAGATAAATATGCTGGGCAAAGGGCGCAGACGCTAAGGATTGATAATGGTAGGTCAGGACGAAGTACGCGTGGTAGGGCAGCCAGCAGAGAGCAAACACCATCACCACCAGGACGAACATCCTCACCACCTGTGTAAAAAAAAAATTATGATAAGATTGGGATATGTGTGGAGCCATTCAATGTAACTGTAGTTAAGTGGAGGTAAGGTAAAGGTACACAGAATGAGTGGGTGTCTGAGTGATGATGGTGATGCAGATGAAAATTATGGTCAATAAATTATGAGGAAAAGTGTTTCTTGCTGATTCTTAAAAGGAATAGACGGCAGTCAAGTTACTATGAGGAGTGTAAGTCTTGATTTTTTAGTTTCAGGTGTACAATTTGTGCAGATGTGTGCAATAAAATTTTTCCATTTAACAAAATATGCTAGGTGTCTTTAGGAATCTATTGAACTCGGTAATAAATAAAAAAGAACAAATATTTCTGCGTCAATATTCCTCATGTTCTTTATTAAAATAAAAACCTACGTTTGTATTTTTTGTTCTACGCCCACAGGAGTAATGAAATAAGATTTAGGGCTCAGTATCCTATTACGGTCTGACATTCGGCTAATTTGCAGTGGACTGAGTTTTTTATTAAAAGTTTATAGGGTTAGCATTGTCTAGGGACTGGATTTATAGATATAGTCTTGTCCATAAGGACATCAGATCTCCGTATTTTAACAAAAACTATGCATAATCGTTTCATTTAAACGTTGTACTCGTTACTTAAAATATATTTGACGATCCTTAGAGTAAGTTTTAGATAATTGTTTATATCGTAGAATAATTTCTTCTAAACCTATTCATTAATTTCTTGACTAAATAGTCAATACGTTTATCAATGAAAGTTTGATGTGATTGGCTATTGCAAATGACAGCTAACAGTAGTACTGGACACTGGTCAGCCTTTCAACGATTCAGTGCGGAAATTACACTCGCGATACACATCACACAGTCAAACGGATATCCTCTGTAGAACTACATACGGTTGACCACTTAGTAATTACCTAGTATCATTAGTATCTTTATAAGTAAACAGCTGAACAATAAAGATAGATAAATAATATTATGTTACGGCTCTAGAGGTAGCATTTTTTACTATTATATTATATTGAATGCCCAAATGGGAACACGTTTTCTTAGTTACGTAAACAAACGTTGATATTTGGAAAACAATTTAGTAATAATTAAATTCTTCTTCAGAATTTTTAAGAATACTAACTAGACATTTTTACAGAATAAAAGCATCTGAAAATGTAAGGGGAAGGAACTTGGGCTTAGGACGTCACTGTGAGAGTAAAAGACGGTTGGACCGGACCAGATTTTTAATTAATTAAGGGACTCTTAAATTATATGCTGGCACGAGCAAGTACTAGGGGTACGTTTTACAATGCGAGTACGGAGGTAGTCTGTTTTTATAAGCTGTACTACTTGCTTTAATTTCCTTTTAAGAAAATAAGACTGCCTCGTTGGCCGAGTAGTTGCAATTGCGACTGTCTGGTCTCGGGTTCGATCCCGGGCAGGGCAAAGTATTACTGGGTTTTAAAAAAAATCTCAGTAGCAGCACCGAGTCTGGAATTGTGTCCGGTATATGCCAATAGGCTCATCCCCTATTACATGGGACTCATTATATAAATAGTGAAAAGTGGGTGTTACATTTGTACAGTGGCATTAAATGCCGTAATGTGCACCTCTGCCTACCCCTTCGGGGATAGAAGACGTGTTGTTATGTTATGTTATGAAAATAACTAATTACAGTTTCATAAAATAACTATTTTCTTTTATGCAATAAATAGATAAATAGACTGATGTCATTTACAAAATTATGTTTTAAACTTGTTTATAATCTGTATTAATTATGCTCGATAACAGTAGTAACACTAAATGGCTGTCATATAAAGTTTTGTTAATTATTAAAAACGTTTTTATTATGTTAGCAATAAAGAATATTTCTGCTTAAAACACAGTTTTATAGTTCTTTTTTTAAATGTATTAAGTTCTAAATAAAGTTGCTCGTCTGCCATGAAGATTTACGGATAAAAATCTTATCTATGCCTTCACAACTAATTCGAAGTTTGAATGAAAAAGAAGTTGGTAAAATGTCCTTAAAAATAAATTCTATGAAATTGCCTCAGAGACATTTAAGGAGAACGAGATTAGTGCTTGTGATTAAGGTTCAAAATAAAATCACTGGGTGTCATGTTGAATAGCCTGTTTACAACGATTGTTCGTAATATTTGTTCTTGAAAATACCTGAACTGGTTGTATATTTAAAATACCAAGAATTCACTTTCAAATTAATGCAACGATTTTACAGATTGGAAATGTTTAAAATGTAATCGATATGCTTTTAACAAATACAAAACAGCATTTGTTCCAAAAACCTTTTATGAAATAAAAATCAAAATGCGTTCATCATTTTATGAATCAAATAACCTGACCATTACGCATATTTCAATTCTTTCATTGATTAATAGAAAAAAGCACTTACATACCAATTTATTTTTATCTAATTCTATCTTAAAAACAATTGATAAAATTGGTGATTGTTTAAATATATTCAACTGGACATAATTGGATTCAATACGGTCTATTTTTGACTGAAGAAATAATAGTGGTTTTAGTCCAATAACGTCTCGTATTAGGTTAAGGATTCATATTGTCTTACAGAGAAAATACATTAGTCCTAACTGTACGAACGTTGAAAGATCAAATGAGCAGTGAAAAAAGATTTCTTTACTTATTTGGATTTGAATTGAATCTACTGGTACTATTTAATTAACCTAGAAGTTGTTACTACTGACAAAGAAGACATTTTAGTTCAGTACTTTAGGGCATTTAACTTATTTTGATGTAAACTTGTTGTATCGACAAAGTATTGTATTAATAATACCGAAGTTAATGAACACATAGTTATCATTATTATGATTTATATTTATCATTAAATCACACAGGTAAGTATGTTATAATTTAAGCCCCACAAAACCGTTGCAATGGTTTGACTGTTAAATAAATACTCTGTGTTGTTTCAAGTAACTTTTTTGACGCTGTATTTTAAATGAAAACTTGAAAGTTTAATTAAACTCTAGTATTATGTACGATGCCAGCTTCTCATGCATGTGGGTGCATGTGGGTGCATTGGAAACCTACTAAAAGCAAGTACCAATATCATTTTTCCTAGTAATATGCACTTTCTAAGAATATTTAGACACAGCTGACAAACGGTGAAGCAAAATATCGTAAGGAAACCTAAGCTTATAATTTCTAGTTCATCATCATCATTATAATCATCAACAGCCGAAAGACGTCTACTGCTGGACAAAGGCCTCCCCCTTAGTCCTTCACGTCGTAGTACGGCAACTTGCCATTAGCATCCACTAGCTTGCCGCAAATAATTTCCAGATATAAGTTTGAAATTGTCAACCTGCATTGGGCAAGCGTGGCGATTAATGCTCAAACTTTCTCCTTATGAGAAGAGGTCTTTGGTCAGTGATTCGTTATAGGCTGTTGATGTTGACGATATCTACGATAACTCATTAATTTAAAACCAAACGGTACAACAAAATATCGATTGATTTCCAAGATAACTTGAATTAGGTTTATGGTATGACCAAGACTTACATGTGCTATCGGAGACACAGGGTTGGAAAACTGCCAAATCAGACTCGTAGCGCATACAACAATCGTGTAAAAATAATACTTCAATCCACAAAAGTCACATGTGCAAAATAATTCTTCAAAGTAAATTAAATTTTCTACCATTGTCTTACAAAGTTATGAATTGAAAGACTTCGAAAAGAATGAACCGATTGTTAATGAAACTTTACACGTGCTGTGCAACTTTATGTCGTTTTGTGCAAGCGAAATTCAACCCTAAGTGTAGCAAAGTACTTTAAGATTGGAGAGAAAGTGCAATGGCCTCTATGAACCCGAGTAACATTCCTAGCAACTGATATTTGTTACCGGTTGATACTATTAGACGAGTACGGATATCAGTTAGTGCAACGTTGATTAATTGAATAGATTTGGAACCCAATACCAATGAAGGATGAAAGGATACCTATCTATATGGACAGAGTGATGTGATGCTCAAATTATTATTTATTCTGTGTGTTATTCTTTTTCTTTGCTATCATTATTATCATGCATTTTTGTCTCTAGATGACAAGAACAGATTTACACCCTTTTTTAATCTAGCTCTGGGTAAGACCTACCTTTTAAATTGCCAAGTTACATATTTTCGCTTTCTATAGTCTACACTCGCAATAAACAAGAAACGGTACTTTATTGTTGTCAAACGAATACACACTGCTATGTACAGAATAACAAAAAGTAAACCAGTATCTGTTGCACAGAGTAAAGAATAAATAACAAAGTTCAAAGACTCAAAGGGAATCGTGACCAAATCACTGACACGCTACATCCATGCGAGTGGATTTCTATTTTGTTCCAACAGTTTTTTCCTCTATAAATAGCGGACAAAACCCGGCCTTCGGAAACTGTTCTATCGTCGAATAAACTATAGAAAATTCAGAAAGGAAATTAGAGGATATTCTCCGAAGGGTCGGTGACCAAAAGGCCAAATTATTAACACGTAGGTAAGCGTTTTGTGTATTCTCCTTGCGGTCGGCCATAAAACTTAATACAATGTAAACAATCGCTTAATTGGGTTGTTTGATTTAGGTCTGGAGATTTCAAAAGCAGCAGGAAAGATCTTTATTTGTCGGAAAATGACACTTTTCAGACTACATAGTCCCATGGTTACGTAGTCCTGTGTAGAAGTGAAATTAAGTCAGATTTTTTTATGGGATAAGCCGGTAAACGAGCAGACGAATCATCTGATGGTAAGCAATCGGCGTCATCCATGGAAACCCTGAACACCAGAGGCGTTACAAATGCGTTACCGGCCTTTTGGTATTAGGAATTTGAGTATTGTTGGGGATTCGTGGTTAAGGGAGATTGGGTAGGCGGGAGGCAGTTGGGCCTCCCGCAACTTCAGTCAAACGATGAAACACAACACGACGAAATACAAGCGTTGTTTCACGTCGGTTTTTTTTGTGAGATACCACTCCGGTTGAGCCGGCTCATTC